GGCGGGATTCGGGACACTCATGTTGATCCCATTTATGTCATCCTGGATACGACCTGACCCATTAGATTGCAGAATTATAGGTATACATGCCTGTGGACCGATTCTGCAATTGAAAACCAATCCACATAGGTATACCGTACGTTGCGCTTAGTACGTTGTCTGCGTCTTCAAAAGCATACTCTCCCTACAGTCTCCAGGACGACCTGATTTTTCTGTTCGGCACACTGCTATCAGTTGTCGTTAGTACCGCCGAGTCTTAGTGCAGTCTCCACAGCATTCATCACTCTAGTTACTATTGACATTCTTGTATGCTATCACAGTTTTATTCTAAGTTATTTAGCCGCACATAGGCGGCTTGGCTTGCCATTCGTGGGCTTCTTCTTTTTTAAGAGTTTGCACAATCAAGAAATTTAAGCAAAAGCCTTTACAGTGTTGTTAGTAGTTTTAAAGCCTGCTCCTCCTGCATTCGTCGGATATCATATCCACACCTGCTTCTGTGAGCAGACAAGCTACACTGTGCGTTTGTCCAAAAGTAGCAGTGTCTTTCAGTCACCAAAAACGACTTAGACCCAACTGTTCCAAGCTTTATGTCAAGAGACGTATCCCAGGAACTCCGTGACTTACCCCTTACAAAGTCGGCGACCATCGATTTTACATGCTCGTTTGAACGACCTTTTCTAGTGAAAACACGCTCTGTTTTGCAGCTGCTATACACAGTTTTTATGGCCTTTTGTTTTTTCTGTAATTATTGCGTATTGGCTTGTTCATTCTGCCAGTCATTGAAGACACTTAACTTCTACACAGAGCTTTCAATGTCACCATAAGAAGCTAGTTAACGATATTTTCAGAACATCCTTTATGTACATTTTTTAAACGTATTTTAAACCATCCGGGAATCAACATGGGAGTCAAAGCAGACCCTTTGCAGTCGTTCTTGTTAAAGGTGATTTTTCACCGGTTAGTCAAAAGAGCAAGGATTATACTGGCCCTTGTACGCGTTTTTCGAACTGCATCGACTGCGTGTGTCTATAACTACTGCCGTACGTATGTGCCGCATTGACCATTGTGCTGACGCC